CAGAGCAGTGAACACAGCCACTGTTGTTTTTCAAACTCCACGCTCGTGCCCAGAGCCTCTGAGGTCCTGCAATCATTTGGCATCTTGTAACCCTTTTCCTAGCTCTTGCTCTCCTTTATTGTCCCCTTCTTCCTGCCTCAGGGTCTTTGCGCTTGCTGGACCCCCCACCTGGGCTCCCTCCCCTCTGCCTTTCTGTTGCTGACTGTCTCAACCTTAGCTCAATGTTACTTTGTATAAGAATGCCCCCCCAGAGTCTCTAGGCCCTAGCCCCTGGAGACACCGACCATTACCGATGCTACCTCAGATGGCAAAGGGGGACGTGATGGGTAGTACTAGGTGATCTGGGTGGGCCCTAAATGTAACTGTCCCATCACACGGGAAGCCAAAGGAGATCTGACCAAAGCGGTCGACATAACCATGGAAACAAGACGTCCTGTGGTGGCTGACCTTAAGATGGGGGAGGAAGCTAGAAGCCACGGTGGATAAAGCCAGAAGCTGGGTCTGGCCTCCATGTCAGTCTAGTGAGTAACACTCACACCTTCATAACTGTAAAGGAGCTAGGGGGTGCTGCCTGATGCCACAGAGTCAGGGTAACTTGTTAGGAATGGAATACAATCACTTAGAGGGGTCTGCACCTGAGCGGCCTTGCTTCCTCAGAGGGTGTGTGAGGAGGTCCAGACAGACCACTCCGGGAAGCTGCTGCTCCAAAACTGTTCTCAACTGAGTCACAAAAAGCCCATTCCCAGAGATCTCAAGTATTTTGTCAGAGTTAGGACAAACACCTGCTTCAGCCCACTCATCCCACAGATGTAGAAACCGAGGCTCAGGGAACCCTGCAGCTGGGCTGAAGGATGGGGTTACTGTCAATCAAACCTTTCAGTATTGGCCCTTCGATGCCATTTGGAGTTTTCACCATGAACAACTGTGCAGGCTGCCGATTGCTTGCAGTAATTCCATAATGACCCAATAATGAAATAATCTAGCCGTCCAGATTCGAATTGTTTGCGGCTTTAGTGACTGGATAACTGGCTAGTTAATGTTCATTCCCAGAGAGCCAAGCATATGGCTTTACAAGGAAACCAAGCTCTGAAATACTTGTTAGCTCTGATGATAATTACTAAGTAATTGGCTAGAACACAGCATTGTGGATCGATCTAGAATATGGCAGGCAATTATCTGGTCATATGCTCCTTGTAAAAAATAAAACCAAGGCCCCCCAAATTGTTCTAGTCAGTTGGCTAGCTTCCAACAATCCACCGCTAACAGTCAATCATGCGGATGCAAATGATTAATCAAATTACTCAGCTATCTGGCTGCAAATAGAACGCTCAGATGGGCAGTTCTTCAGGACCAACATGTAGATGGAGCGAAATGGGGGACACACCGAGCTCTCCTATGATAAATACAGAACAACGAAATAATCGGAGAATAGATGCTACTTCCTCAGGGCTCATCTGGTATCCTCCCACAAAACACCAGACACTTCAGAGACCAATTCTATGTCCCAAAGCCGCTGGGGATTTTTTTTTAAATTGGGGTACCAGGAAAAGGCTGGGTGCTTTGTGAAATCTATGGGTTGTTATGGCACGTGGGGCAGGGGCTCAGAGTTCTGCCACAGAATAGAAGGCTGCCGCGCAGCTGGGCTTGAGGGACGAGCAGTACATTCTCATAATGGCCACTCATTTTCTGAAGCTACTAATGGGGTCCGGACATGTGCAAGGAAACACTCTTTGGGAAAGGGGGGCGGAACACAAAAGGAATGGGTCCCTGAGATCCATGGGTCGCCAGACTTGTAGGTCTCAAGTGAGAGGTTCCTAACTTCTGGGAAAGAGAAGTTGCTTCCTGACAAGAGAGAAGCACAGAGTGCAGAGGGGGACACTGAGGAGGGCTGTCAAAGCAACCATCTGTGGACCTTTCCCTGCAGAGTCTGCCATTCAGAGGGCAAGTCTTTCTCCCTAACTTGAATCCAGTTGACCACAGGAGATGCACCAGCCAATGGATGTCAGCCAGTACATGACCAGTGGAGGCATGAAAAGCACCTGTGCATTTAACCTTTGACCCCTCGCTGTACCTGGGAAACGGAAGCCACCATGGGAAAGACCCGAGCTGGAAGTCACGTGAAACAGAACTGAGACACCCCAGCTGACAGGGTGTCTAGCACACGGGTCTACAACTGACCCGATCCTCATCGCTGCCAGCTGACCACAGCTGCCCAGCAGAGTCAGGCCACAGAAAAGGACTCAATCCAGAACTATCCCCAGGACAGAGGGAAACCATTGAGCTACAGAGTCAGTCCTTTACTCTGCACAGCACATCAAGCATTTGTAGCCTGCTCCCCGAATTGATGACTGGAGAGCCACATCTGGCTCGGGTAGGCATGAGATCCCCTGCTCTTACACTGGTTTAAGGAGAGGTAAAGGCCTCTGCCACCATCCCCAGGCCTCACAGGCACTTGACATTTGATACCTGAGCCACAGTGCCCCCCCTTTGCATAATCCACGATGACATGATAATTCTTCTGCCACCAAAGTCTAATTAAACAGACTCAGGGGAACAGACTGAAAATATACCACCTCTGCCGAGGCTGCAGCCCCTTCCCTGACACCTTCCACGATGGGGGACCAACTCATGGTGAGAGGCTACTGCTTGAGTTTGTGTCCTGGAAGCAGAAGGTTCCATTTGGCATTCCCAGGCCACACCCAGAATCCCGCAGCTGTAGCCATAATAAGGGAGGATTTGGAAACACATCAGAGACAGGTTGTTCATAGCCACTCAAGTGTAACTACTACTTCGCTTTTCCAAAGTGTCTCACGTTGCTGGGCGAGGTCAGAGAGCCATTCACCACCACCCACCATCTTCCTGGATGTGTGTGTACGTGTGTGTGTGTGTGTGTGTGTGTACGTGCGTGTGTGTGTGTGTGTTCATTATACATGCGCATGTATATATGGAGGCCAGAGGGCAACCTTGGCTGTCATTTCCCAGGCTGCCCATCTTGTTTGTGTGAGACAGGGTCTCACACTGGGACTTGGGGTTCTCTGAGTAAGCCAGACTGGCTCATCAGCCAGTCCCAGGAATCTCCCTGTCCTTTATCATCCCCATATTTGAATTATAATCAGGCATCACCACACCTAGATATTTCTTACCTATATCCTGGGATCAGACTCAGGTACCGACTGACACATCTCTCCAGCTTTATGTGTGTGTGTGTGTGTGTGTGTGTGTGTGCATGTATGTATATATATATATGTTCATATGTTTGTGAGTGCTCATGGATATGAGTTTACATGTATGTGAAGGCCGAGGTTTTACATCGGGTGTCATCTGCCATTTTCTTAAAAGTTGATCTCTATTAACTACCCTCCCCCCACCCTGCCCCCAAACTCCTGCAGCCCATGAATGCTGGACACTCAGGACAATGGCGGTAACCACTCCATAAACATTCTGCAAACCAGCGAGAGCCACAATCATAGTCATCAGCATCTCAGATCAAACTATGGGGGCAGATCTGGCAAGCCACTTGGGCTTATAAATAAAGTTTTATTGCAACGCTGCCGTGCAAATCCATTCACATATCATCTATGGCTGGTTTTTTTTTTTTGTGTGTGTGTGTGTGACAGTGGCAGAACCAACTTGCTAAGACAGAAACTGTTCAGCCTGTGAGGCTGATTCACAGATCCCACTGGGCCTGTAACCTAAGTTGGCTGACCTATGTCTAAAGCAATCCACTCATTTTACATAATGAGAGACAAGAGTCAGAGACCCACCTATGCAGGGTAGAGGTCAGACGCGGCTTTTCTGGCTCCCAATGCAGTACTTTTCCCACACACTGCTAAAGCCCTGAAAACATTTCCTGGTGACTTAAAAGATTGTGAGTGAACCATGAATGGAAGACATGAAGATACTATTAGCCTGAACAAAGCCCTGGAGAGCCCCCATGGGAGCCGCAGGGACTGACCTGGTGATGATGGCCAGGTGGGGCGGGCTCATGCAGGCTCCCATGAAGAGCACCACGTTCTCATGTCTGGTCTGCCTGTAGGCCATCACTTCCCGCTTGAAGGCCTTGAGCTGGTCCTCGTTATCCCTCTCGATGTCAATCAACCGGATGGCCACCTCACCGTGCCAGCGCCCGTGGTACACCTGCCCGAAGCGGCCCTTCCCGATGAGCTCGCCAATCTCTAGCTGCTCAAAGGGGATGTCCCATTCCTGAAGGAAGATGCTGGTCTGGCTGGCCTTGCGTGGGAAGCTCCGGGCTGAGAGGAGGGATAGGTTCATCTCCTCAAAGTCATCCTCGGACTCCTCTGCTTCATCGTGGCCTTCTTCATTCTGTGGCCAGAGGGGAGAGAGGTCAAAGCCATGGCCACCCCAGCTCCACCCTCCCTCGGGGCCTGTGGGGTACCATGTGTGCTGTGGAGGTCAGGACACACTCTGTATTTCCATAGGTAGACAGAGCTGCTTCCCAGGTGCCTTTGAATTGGAGTCAAATCACAAGGAATGACTTAAAGAGGAGTCAAGGTGGCCCCACCGCCTTGTGCTAAGAGAAGAGAAATGCAGAGGGGACCAACTGTTCTAGTTTGGCTGGACTTGGAAGTTTTCACGCTGAAAAGTGACACATCCCAGGATACCTGTCAATCCTGGGCAACCTGGGATGTTGGTCACCCTGGGAGGTCCTCACGCTGGATCACAGCCAAGTGGAGGGAGACAGTTTAGATTCAGGTTGCTGGAACCCTGCTATCCAGTGTCACTCCTGTTCTGCTCTACTGGTTTTGACTTGCCGGACAGTATGTGTGTGAGAGGAACAGCAGGCTAAAAGATGGATGTACTGTGTGTCTCTTCGTGTGACACGGGACAACCGTCAGCATGGGCTGTCTGTCAGCCTCCTCCAGGGAATTCAGAATTGATTCAGAGATTGGCCAAGGGCCATAGTTCCAAGCTCTGTAGCTCATGTAAGACCAGGTGGCTGGGAGACATCGGAGCAGACAGTCCAGACCATGTGCTGAACACTTAGACCCAGTGAGCTGGCCTCTGGCCTGTGTGACCTTGGGGAAATTGGTCCACCTCTCTGAGCTTTCCTTAGTTCCCTATAAAGTAGAAGATAAGACTTTTCTCCAGGGGGTGGTGTGAAGTTTTAAATGGGGTGATGAGTTCTCAAGTTCCTGCCACGGCCTGGCTGCCTACAACAAACATCTGCTGGGATGTCAGAGAAAATGCAGATTCTCGGGCCCCATCTGGAACTATTGAGTTAAAATATCAACAGGGCTGGAGAGATGGCTCAGTGGTTACGAACACTGACTGCTCTTCCAGAGGACCCAGGTTCAATTCCCAGCATCCACACGGCAGCTCACAACTGTCTGTAATTCTAGTTCCAGGGGACCTGACACCCACGGCAAAAGACCAGTGCCTATAAAACAAAAATTAATAATTTTTAAAACATCAGCAGGTCTGCAGTGAGACCTGCATTTTAATCACATGACTCTTGGGGTTAGTTGTGATCAATCAAGGGAGAATGCGTAGGGTTGGGGATATCTAGGCTCAGGGGCATCTTGCCTATTGGATTGTATTATAACATGTAGAGGAAGAGCAGATGCCAGACCCTGTGAGAAGCCCCCAAAGACCTTAGTAAGATGACCTAAGAAAGGGACCTCTTCACTGGACCCCCAGTCTATGAGCTGGCTGTCCATGACACTGGTCAGTTCTAGGTGGCTGCTCCCGTCTCAGAATGGAATGTGGGCCTCTTTCCCAGAGTCCTGGTTCTAGACATTTTAGCTCAGGGCACACAGTAGGGCCAAGATGGCAGACCCAATGGTCATTCCCTAGGACATTTCTTTACTCCCTTAGCACAGGTGGAAGGAAGCCCAGAACTTTCCTCACCATGCTGCCAAGCTAGCATCCTTGGTGCTCCCACCGCTACTGTATGTTATTTCAAAGGCAGTGGGGCACATCCCCCTTCCCATTTCCCCCAGCCCTGAGCTAATTTTTTTACCTAAAAATGCAAATCACAGGCCAATTTCCTTCCAACTGTCTCTGCCAGGATGAACACAGCTGAACGGCCCATTAGGCTCAGCGCCTGGAGGAGCTATATAGCTCCTTAATTGTCCTAGAGTGAGAACATCCATCAAACAGCCCCTGTACCCCACCTCCCCGCCCCCATCCCTCTGCGTCATCAACGACATCGGCAGCTTCGCCAACCTCGAGCCAAAGCCACCTTGCCGATCTCCAAGTCTCACCTCCGAGGTCGGTTCCACTTCAATCTGAAGTAATGGATTTCCTTCCAAGCTGTAAATCAGAGAGAGAGAGAGAGAGAGAAAAAAAAAAAAAAAAACAAAAAAAAAAAAACAAAAAAAAAAAAACACCCGTGATCTTACAACTCTGGATTTAAGGTGAGCCATGCTCAGGAGTCCAAAATGGTAAGTTGCAGCCACGTAACCTTTATCTCCCGTGTGATTTAAACACTTGGATCTGAAACAACTCAGAGCTGAGTACAGAGAGAGCTCACGAGACCATTATTTTAAAAGAAATTCTCCTGGTTTGCTCAGGGGTTGCTTTCCTTTATTGCTTCGGTTTCAACTAGTAAAGCAGCCTCTTTTTAAGTGGGCGAAAATGTCACAGGTGAACAACTCCTGTGCACTGGGAAAGAGTAAATCACATTTCTAAACTTCATGTTCAGAATCTCCTAGGAGGTTCTAAAAAAAAAAAAAAAAAGATTCAGTTTTAATTTTAATTATGTATCTCTGTGTGGGTGTGTACACATGCTTGCAGTACCTATCAAAGTTAGAGGGCAGCTGACCTTCTGGAGTTGGAGTCACACGGGGTTATGAGTCAACAGGGATGGTTAGTGTTTTGTTTTTTTTAAAAAACTTGACACAAGCTGGAGTCATCTGGGAAGAAGAACCTCAACTGAGAAAATGCCTCCATCAGACTGGCCCACTGGCAATTCTCTGGGGCCCTTTCTTGATTAATGACTGACATGGGAGGGCTCAGCCCACTGTGGGTGGTGCCATCCCCTAGGCAGATGGTCCTGAGCTGTGTGAGAAATAAAACAGAGCAAACCATGGGGAGTAAGGCAGTCAGCAGCACCCCTCCATGGCTTCTGCATCAGCTCCTGCCTCCAGGTTCCCGCCTTGAGTTCCTGCTCTAACGTCCCTCCGTGACCGCGTGTGGCCTGAGAGCTGTAAGCTGACGTGAGCTCCTTCTTCCACAAATTTATTTTAGTCACGGTGTTCATCACAGCAACAGAAGTAAGATTAGCACACTACCGGACACTGGTGCTGAGAACGAACTCAAGTCCTCTGCAAGAGCTTGACAGGTGCTCTTAGCTGCGGAGCCATCCTACAAGGATGCCCCGCCCCCCTACAAGGATTTTAACATCAATGCATTTGTCTGTCCATTTATTTCCTTCTTCATTCATTCATTCATTTTCATCCATCCATCCAGGCATGTCTTTAAGAAGAGGCTCTGGAGTTGGAGGCAGGATGGCTCCTGACATAAAGGGACATCTTTTTACTGCTGAAATAACTAACCATAGATAGGGGCAGAGGGGGAGCAACAAGGGCCAGCAGCTACCGGTGAACTGAATAAATGGAGGGTTGTGGGAATTCCCAGAAGAGAGACTCACTGGGCACATTTGGAAGTCCCTGGTTGTCATGATCTAAATAAGAGTGACCCCCCACAGGCTCATATATTAGAATGCTTAATTGCTAGATTGTGGTACTATTTGAAAGGATTAGAAGGTGTGGTCTTGTTGGAGGAAGTGCGTCCCTTAGGGTGGGCTTTGAGGTTTCAGAGGCCCATATGACTGAGCCCAGTCTCTGTGTCTGTCTCTGTCTGTCTGTCTGCTCCCCTACCCCCCACCCCATGGATCAGAATGTAGTTCTCAGTGACTTCTCTGGCATCATGCCTGCCATGCTTCCCGCCCTGATGATAACCAGCTGACCCTCGGAAACCGTAAGGAAGCCCCCGATTCGATGCTTCCCTTTTATAAGACTAGCCTTGGCCCTGGTGTCTCTTCACGGCAACAGAGCGGTGACCAAGACAATGGTATTGGAGTTTAACTTGGCCAATCTCATGGACTCGAGATGCGTAAACAAGAACTTTGCTGGGTGGGAATAAACAGGTGTGAGTATGTGTCACGCGTACTGAGCTCGAAAGCTGCAGCTGTATTCTAAGCACGGGTCTATGTGTGAGCAATCCAAGGGTCGACGGGATGTGTGTTAGAGCTTGTCTGAGTTGTGTGGACACACTAAGGGTGTTAGGGATGTGCTGTGTGTTGATGGTATAGTTGGCTGGGTATTAAGAACGTGAGGGCACTATCAAATGCATAGTTTTGTGATGGGGATGTGGGGTACAGTCAACGTCCACAGGGGGTGTTTGGAGGAAGCTTTTGATACTTAAGGATGTGTGTTTATGGAAAGCAGTGGGAACAGAGCAGCTTGGCTACAGACTACACACAAAACTCAGAAGAGGTAGGGCAAAGCTATCACCAGGAAAACCATGTCCTCTTTCTATTTCTCCAATGGAAGTTTAGCAACTCCCCTACCCACCCTATTGTGGGAGGAGTTTCCCTATCCCACCCCTCAGATCTCAGGGAGCTAAGGGCTCTGCAGACTGAGTCAATCTACCTCCATGCTAGAGCTAACCAGGAGAGGGAGGGTCACTGTGGGTGACGTGTGTCAATCAATTATTTAGGGTGTTACCATAGGAAGTGGGGACAGTGAAGAAATCAGGACAACACAGGCGTCCCTCTCCTTGCCAGTCCCCTTAAGGGCAGCCTGCTCCTTTCTGTTTCAAGGTGGGCTTCCAGCTGCCGGGGCTATTCGATGACTTCTGGCTGCAGCCTTCCGTTACTCCTCACACATTTACACAGATCACAAGCAGTTCCCCGCCCTAACACGGCAACTCTAGCTATCATTAATAACTTGGAGTTCATCTTGTACAAAGCGTGGAGCTGGTTTGTGAGCCGCAGAGAACTGACCCAGAGATCTAGGTCAGCAAAGTACCCTCCAGCAAGATACTGCTCCTTTGATTTTAGAGATGCACCACGTCGTTGGCGCTTCACAGAGTCCTGATGCGGGTCAAGTGGGATGGAGCCATCATTAGGGAGGCAAGAAGAAAAGGCATGCCGGCAGAAATGAGAGTTGCGAGACTCGTCACATCCCAGCCTGCCCCAGACTTGGGGCACAGACACCAAAGGGAAGGAGGGTGACTTCTCTGCTTATCTAAGCAATGGGCCATCCAGGGGATTCGTACACCAAGACATTTGTGGCCACGTTGTTTACTGCGGGGTCAGGGGTGGGGACAGAACTGAATCCCACATCAGTATGACATTCTATAGTCAGTAAGACACTGCCTATGAAGAACCCAGAATCGCATGGGAAAAATCAGTGTCACGGTACTAAAGATAAAACAGGACTGCACGGATTGTAACCGCCTCTGTCATGAATCACAATACAGGAACAGGATGAGAGAGCCCGCTAGAACGCTCTAGCAGCGTGAAATTCCAAGGGGCGAATTTCTTTTCCCTTATTCACAGAATATTCTAAATTCTCCCAAATCAGCTTCTGTTCATTTCGCGGTGGTATAAATAAGAGGCTAGCAGGCTCTTTCCGCAAGGGCCCAGGGAGTCAATATTTTTGGCTTTGGGAAACATATGCTTCCTTATTACCTCCCAACCCTCCTGCTGTACTGAGAAGGCAGCCAGTCATGGCCCGGTATATACACGAGCATGGCACTGTTTCAATAAAACTTTACTTATAAAAACAAGTGACAGATGGGATTCGTCTGACAGGCTAGAGTTTGTTGATTCCAGGTAAACGCTATCTTTCCTTTATCTTTTTTTTTTCTTTCTCTCACCCTGTCCCCTTTCCCTCTTTCTCCTCAGGACTAGGCATTTAACCTAGAGCCTCACAACCAAAGTATATCCTCAGCCCTTTTTAGATGTTTAGATTTTGAGACCTGGCCTTATGGAGTTGCCCCAGCTGGCTTTGAACTTGTAATTGTTTTGCTTTGACCTCCCAAGCATCCGGGATGACAGGCAGATGCCACCAGGCTCTGCTTAAAGGACACTTTTTTTTTTTTTCTTTTCCGAGTCAGAGTTTCTCTGTGTAGTTTTGGTGCATGTCCTGGATCTCACTCTGTAGATCAGGCTGGCCTCGAACTCACAGAGATCCACCTGGCTCTGCCTCCCGAGTTCTGGGATTAAAGGCGTGCATCAACACCACCCGGCCACTTTTTTTTTTTTTAAAGATTTATTTATTTATTATGTATACAGTGTTCTGTTTGCATGTATTCCTCCATGCCAGAAGAGGGAGCCAGATCTCAATACAGATAGTTGTGAGCCACCATATGGGTGCTAGGAATTGAACTCAGGACCTCTGGAAGAACAGCCAGTGTTCTTAACCTCTGAGCCATCTCTCCAGCCCCAAAGGACATTTTTAAAAAAGGGAGACTATGGTATAAACGAAAGTCCAGCTGTTACCTGGGACAGCTGTCTGGAATAATGAGGAGGGCCCTGTGAGAAAATGGTGTAACCTCTAGAAACTGTAGTTGCCACGGAGGACCGGAGCCTCGGGAAGAGCTGGCTTGTGGGGACTAACACTGCCTCTTATCACTTCCCTCTCAGCTTGGGGTGCCAGCCCCCCTTCTCTCTATTGAGCCATGTCCTGTGTCTTTCTGTCCCCCACTCATCTCCTTCAGGGTTGAGACAAAGTGACAGCAGAGAAACCAGGAAGGCTGAAGGTACCCAAGCTTGGGGGTAGGGGATGAAGTCACTTACATTGTATTCGAGGTGACAGGATGCAGGATGACTTGAGGTGCCCGGGTCGGCGTCTCCGGTACAGGCACCACATCTGAAAGGCAGAGGGCAGACACTCAGTGTTCAAACCTAGAACCCATGACCCTCACCCCCCAACAGACACAGCAGCCAGCAACCCCACCCCGTGTTGTGGATTCCAATGTTCGCCAGCTTCCTTTCCCCCTGCCTCACCCACTGAGATGGACCAGCATTCTAGGGATCCTGCATACACATCATCACTGCCAAGGGGGTTAGACAGGATGCCTAAGCATCCACTGCTCATCCCTGAATCCTCCTCACCCCTGAGTCCCCTTTGGGTCAAGGGGACCAGTCAGTTCACATCTGTCCAGCTCAGGTCCCTTTGGCCTGCTGACCCCCTGGGCCTCCGCCGTGCTGGGTATATCCTTGGGTCCCTTGGTGCCCTTGGCATCTCCCACCCTTACCTTCTCCTCTTCCTTGTCCAGATGTTATCCTGGAGTGTGGAGACCCCACTAGTCTCCTCTCTGCTCTTGACCTCTCTCCACCAGCCCCAGCAATCCCTGCTCCTCAGAGGGCCGGTTCCCAGGACACTCACCTGGGAAGATGAACTGCTGCTTGTATTTGTAGTAGTGAGGAGCTTGCAAAAGACAGAGAACACCAGCGTGAGTGGCACCCGAGTGCTGCCTGGGTGGGCACCAAGCCTCATCCCTACTGTCACTGCATAGTTGTTCTCTGTCCACCCCCAGAGTGTCCACGCTTCAGCAGACACCCCGAATTCTAAGGGAGTAGGAACATGTGGGACCCAACCACTTGACATCTCACACTCCCTAAAGCCAGGCCACGTCCTCTCCGAGGCACAGTGAAACACACTTACACACACACACACACACATACACCACCACCACCACCACCACCACCACGAAGCTATAATCCCAAACACTCTCTGCTTTTACAGATCCTTTACACAAATTTTCAGCATCAAACTTCACATTGGACTATTTTCTTCGCACTGTTATCAAGTGACGATAAACGTAATGACTCCCAACGGCACTAACAGATTCCCTTCACAGCGGTGACTCTCAGCCTGTGGGTTGCAGCTCCTTTGGAGACTGCCTATCAGATATCCTGCACAACAGATGTTTACGTTACCATTTGTAACAATCGCAAAATCACAGTGATGAAGTAGCGACGAAATAATGTTATGGTTGGCGGTCACCACCCCATGAGGAAGTCTATTAAAGGGTCTCAGTGTTAGGAAGGTTCAGAACCACTGCTCTACAGTCTGGAACAGGAAAACAAGTCTTAAAGAGCCACGGACAAGGTGGATGGTTTGGACTCCCTGGAGAGTCCCAACAAGTCTTTTGGGCAGGCGGTTTCTCTTCCCCAGCAAGCGTGGGCAGCAGAGGGTCCAACCCGAGCGCTCCTTGGCTCCCCCAAAATTCCCCCCAGTCTCAGCTGTGTTCTGACTTCCTGCTGGTCGTCTTGCCCGCCCCATATGCGATCAAATTTAGCCTAATCCAGGATCATCTGTGCCCCTCAAAATCTGCGATTTGATCCCAACTGCCGTAATCCTTTTTCCACATCAGGCACAGGCTTGGAGATCGGGTTGTGAACATCTTTCTCTCTTCTCTTTTGCCCTTCCAGGGAGCAGGCCTTTCCCCGCTTCCCATAAGCCTGGATTAATCTCTATGTGTAGCAAGAATAATTATGCAAAAGATGTTTCCTGAACCTCACTTGCTGATGCTCTTGACAACTTACTCGACCACTCTGGTCCACTCACCAAAGGCCAAGGTTTCTAATTTGCCCATTTGTTTCTTTAGGGTACGGTGCATGGAGTGTGGGTAGGTCAGACAGCTTACACCCCCACCCCCACCCCCGTGCAATAAGCATGGTGGTTGGCAGAGAGGGGGTCACATACAAGCTACTGCAGCATCTGGTACCAGAAGCAACGTGACTGCCTCCAGAGACGAGGGCTGCTAACTGCCACTTGACTCCTCCCTGGGAGGACCCAGGTCTGGGCCTGGCGTCTAGAAGCTCATCCTGTAGCGCTGAGTGTTGGCTCTGCTTACGTCCCTGGTAAAAATCCAAGCAAACCTTTCCATGTCTCGGTGTCCACAGACAAAATGGGGACAGTACTAGCTCCGGGTCCATGACACGGGGACCATCACCCCACAGGAGTGTGCAGTGGGTTCTGAGTGGAGACAGCTGGGGCCTTGGTTCCTCATCTGCAGATACAACTGATCCAAGATGGAAAAGTCTCTAACAGATGATGTGTGTACCAACCATGGTATATTTTCTTCCAGCTGTGAGGCCCTACACAACACGTGAAAACCATACAGCTTTCACCCAGAACTCGGTGTTGTGTGTCACCTGGAGGTGGTTTAGTGTTGGAGCCCACCGAGGTTTCCTGGTGGCTGTACCCAGCAGGGCTGCATAAGAAGATGATTGGACCACGGGCCTGGGTACCAGGTGTTTGGAAGGATCTACACTTGGCTGTATCTAGCAAGGGGGGAGGTCTTTTGCCTCGCCTCTTGGCATTGTTATAAATAGCCCTTTGGAATAAAGTTCTGGGCTAGTGGATAAGGATCCAGGCCCACCCGAGGCTATCCTGTGTTTCTCTCTGTTTCTCTCCCCTCTGTATTTCTATCTAAATCTCTTATCCCTCTCTCCTCTAGAGTCCCTGGGGTAAATAAATGTGGGGGCCGGTCTCCCACAGTTTAGCATATGGGAGGATGTGTGGCGATGGCATGCATGTTCCACAAGGACATGAGCATCCTTGGACTGTGAAATTCTTGAGGCCCCAGGAGCCCTAGATCTATGGGATGGATGCGTTAGCAAATGGTGAAAAATGGACTCCCAGCTCTCTTAACTAACAGACAAGAGTGATTTAGAACCAAGAGACAGCCGGACAGCTTCAGGTGCTAAACTGTTTCTTGGGGGAATGCAAATGAAACACTCCCCTTGAGGCTGGAGTCAATTAATAAGTAAATCCTAGCACCTCGGGAGCCCCAAGTCCCCACACACGTAGGTGGGAAACATGCTGAGGACTGACTAAAACCACTGCTCTTTATTGAGGATGCAAGAGTGGAAGCTCTTGGCTCAGCCCATTTCCTGGTCTGGGATAGCCTTGGGACGCCAGTGGGGTTATTTTGATTCTGGATCACAGGTGTACAGACCGGGAAACAATTTGTTCCGGGTCACAAAGTACAGCTGTCCAAATCAAAGGCAGCTCGCGAGTCCAGGAGCCTTGTTGGTTACACAGACTTGTACAAATCTCACATGAAGCTGTTTTGTCAACAAAAGGCTAAAATTAAAACTACTACACCTCAGAGGGCCCACATGATCTCATCACACACCCCACCACCACCACCACACTCTAACTACAGTGAGGGTCTGTCTGTCTCTCTCTCTCTCTCTCTCTCTCTCTCTCTCTCTCTCTCTCTCTCTCTCTCTGTTTTTCGAGACAGGGTTTCTCTGTGTGTAGATTTGACTGTCCTAGATCTCACTCTGTAGACCAGGCTGGCCTCAAACTCACAGAGATCCACCTGCCTCTGCCTCCCCGAATGCTGGGATCAGAGTCCTATGGCCCCACTGCCTGGCCAGTGAGGGACTCTTAACCAGTCATAAAGGTGGGATGATGGTCAAGTTCTTTTCAAGAAACAGAGGACCACGTGTTCAAGACTGGCCTGGAGTACATAGCAAGAACTTGGTTTTTGCTTTATAATAAACGTTGCTCATGTCCTAATCTTGGAGAAGTGTGACTATGTGCCCTTATATGGCAAAGGGACTTTACAGATGGGTTTAAATGGGCTCTTGACACAGGGGCTGTCCTGGGCTATGTGGATGAGCCCCATGTGATAACAAAAGTCATTGTAAGAAGTCAAAGGTCAAAGAGAGTCAATGAAAACAGGTTGTGTCAGTCAGGGTTACTGTTGCTGTGATGAAACACCGTGACCAAAGCAACTCGGGGAGGGAAGGGTTTATTCAGCTCACACTTCCACACCATTATTTGTCGTCAAAGGAAGTCAGGACAGGAACTCAAGCAGGGCAGGAACCCAGAGGCAGGGGCTGATGCAGAGGCCATGGAGGGGTGCTGCTCACTGGCTTGCTCCCCATGGCTTGCTCAGCCTGCTCTCTTCTAGAACCCAGGACCACCTGCCCAGGGATGGCACCGCCCACCATGGGCTGGGCCTTCCCCCATTGATCACTATATGAGAAAATGCCTTAGAGCTGGATCTCAAGGAGTAATTTCCTCAGCAGGGGCTCCTTCCTTTGATGACTCCAGCTTGTGTCAAGTTGACACACAAAGCCAGCCAGCGCACAGGGGGTGACAGAGGCCCGGGTAGAACAATGAAGGGAGGTGAAGATGGAAGCTGGGAAAAAGCAAGAAAATGGCTCCTTCCCCCATGGCCTCCAGGACAACCTGGGCTCGCTGGGCCATGGAGTTTTCTCCCCTGTCAAACCTGCTCTGTCTGGGCTTCTAACGTCAGAAACATGAGACACCTTTGTGCTGTTTTAAGCTGTTCAGTCTGGGATCATTTGTCACGGCGGCAGCAGGACTCTTGTATGACAGAGCTATGTCAGGCGGTTCACGGTTCTACAGGAAGTGTCTGGTACACAGTAGGTGCTCAATGGGTGCTTCTTAAGGACGGCTGCCCTCTGAAGGTCAAGAAGACAATGTGAAGAAGGGGAACTAGAGTCCTGGGAAGTGTGTAGGATTTAAGTCATTCATTCATTCATTCATTCAGCAAACACTGTACTATTCCATAGGCACTCGTGTTCACTGGCCTTGGGCACAAAAAGAATGACGTGGTCAGGTTTGCTGCCCTTATGGTATTGGCGTATGGAGGGGACGGACAGTGAGCAAGCAAATAAATCCCCATGAGCACATGGCGATGAGGAGCAGGGTTCGGAAGAGAGGAGACATTGCCCGAGACAGAGTGGGATCTTAGAAATCCTGCTGGCCCCTAGGGGATGACATCATGGTTCATACAGACTCAGGCCGGTCCAAGAGCTGACAGTAGATGACTGGTGAGTGTGGGACATCCATACAACCTGTGCCATGTGTGCACACACACACACACACACATGTGTACACATCACACAGACACACACATACCACACACACATGTACATACATACACACCCACACACATACAACACACACATACCACATATACCAAACACACACACACACAAGCACACACACCACTATACACACGAACACATATGCACATACATGCACACCCCCACATATGCACATACAACACACACATACACACACACCACATATACCACACACACACCACTACACACACACACACACACACACACACACACACACACACACACAGCCCAGAAAACAACACAGAAGAAAAGGCAGGAAGAACTACAGGGCCAGAGGGTGGAGAAGAGTTCGATGAAATGTTGCCGTCCAGATACGGTGTTGCCACGGCAACCATGAACACACAGCAGCAGTGGACACTTGCACAAGACCAGGCCCCGACTGTCCCCACAGACAGAGGGGACGCCGTGAGGCCCCTCTTCCCCTGAGAACTGATGCCTGCGGGTGCTTGCTGGAGGAGGAGGGTGACACTAGAGGACACGGTGGGAAGAAATGATTCAGAGGGAAATAGATGGAGACACTGGAGGGTAATCGGGGAACTACACCAACCATCCACGGCATGAACATACGAAACCAAAAAAGAAATAAAAAAGAAATCTTGCACCAGGCAGACTCTACTTTTTGTTCCTTCATTTTTAAGGCACCAGAACATTCTATTTCCTGGGGTGGTGTGCATGTGTGTAAGTGCATGAGTGTGTGCATAAGTGCATGTGTGTATGTGTGTAACTGTATAAGTGTGTATGTGTGTAAGTGTATGAGTGTGTGTGCATGTAAATGCATGTGTGTAAGTGAATGAGTGTGTATGTGCATGTGTGTAAGTGCATGAGTGTGTGTACATAAGTGCATTTGTGTGTGCATGTAAGTGTATGAGTATGTGTGTGCATGTGTATAAGTGTATGAGTGTGTATGTGCATGTGTGTAACGCATGTGTATGTGCATATGTGTAAGTGCATGAGTGTGTATGTGCACATAAGTGCATAAGTTTGTGTGCATGTGAGTATGTGTGGTGTGCATGTAAACGTAAGTGCGTGTGCGTGTGCGTGTGTGTGTGTGTGTGCTGCTACAATGGGTCCAAAGAAAGGCGATATCTGGAGACTCCATCCAGAAGTCCCTTCATGTCACTTGCCATGAGGACACCACAGCCACTCAAAACAAAGCTGGGGTCTGAAACTGGATCCATCTGCTCAGAGCCGCTCCCCGACAGGCTTCTCTGCAGAGCAGGAAGGCTCAGGAAAGGCTGGAAACAGTGGTCAACCCAGTGGGCGGGATGCGGTCACCGACACCCGGTCAGCACACGTCACACTCAGTTTGCTAACGTCTCCTTCCCGTGTGCTCTGAGGTCACCAGGGAAGTTAAATCCCCTGGATGCTCTAGATGAATCAATTCTAGCAACATAGCTACATCCGAGCATTAGTGCAGCCTCGAGAACTCAACATCGTATGGCCAGCCACGCTCCAAGCTCTGTTCCTCATCTCCAGGAGCTCAGCATCCAGAGTGTGACAGAGAGCCAGATGCCTGTCACCCGGGGAGATTCAGCTGGGGCAGGGGAAGCCCTGACTGTGTTTCTGGGAGACTGTATTTTATTTTCCATTACAGCTTCACGTCCCATCAGTTGCAATCACTGACTCACATGCACCCCCCATTATATACATGACAGAAAGTAAGACCAAGACTTCCGTCAGCCAGGCGTGGTAGCACATCCCAATAACCCCAGACTCCAGAGGCAGAGGCAGGGGGACAGTGAGTGTGGGGAGAGCTTGTTTCAGAAAGAAATTCCTGAGTGTTCATGTGCTGAGGGCGTCAAACGGTGCAGCCACTCGTGGAGGAACTACTCTTCGGCTTTCCTTACGAACCGCACACATGCTTGCCCCACGCACAAGGCCCTAGGTTCCATCCCCAGCACCGCAAAGTTGAGACCTCTCTGCTCATCAGCAACAGCCGAGAAGTGAGTCCTGGCAGATTTTATACATGCAATGCATGAATGCACGAAAATGATCCACAAGAAACAGAATGATCGTATACCGACTTATTTTGCAAATCGGTTATTTTTTCCCGCTTAAAACCCATGATGAGCGTCTTGGCATTCTGGGAAATGTCTGCGGAGTACTGAGTCCCTTCAAATGGCGTACAGGTCCAGTGCACTCGGCCCTTCTCTGGATGGGCACTTGACATGATTTCAACTCTTCGCTGTCGCAAAGACTAATGTCCTGACACACAGATCCTGGCGTCCTTGTGAGAGTGTCTGACTAGAAATTCCTTTAAGTGACATTGCTGATTCCATGGAAAATTTCAACTGACAGACTAACTTCCTCAGAAGGCGAATCCAATAGTACTCTGTGTGTGTGTGTGTGTGTGTGTGTGTGTGTGTGTGTGTGTGTGTGTGTGTGTGTGTGTTTGGTATGTGCACACGTATGTGGAAGCCAGAAGCCAACCTTAGGTGTCATTCCTCAAGTTCTGTCTACCTTATTTCATGAGACAGGGCTTGTTGCTTTTACCTAGACCTCAACACTCTGGCTGGGCTGGCTGTCATTGAGTTCACAAGATCCACCTCCCTTCAGGTCCCCAGTGTTGGGACTCCAAGCATGTGCACTACACCAGGATTTTTTTTTAAAACATGAACTCTGGGAATTGAACTCAGATCCTTGCGCTCCTATAGCAGGATTTTCTTTTCCCACCTCGCCAGCCCTTGCTCAGGTGCCATAGTGATGGAGACCTGACTGGTACAGCCTCCTTGGGACCTACGGGCTTGGCTGGGCCCTGGGGGAGGCAGCAGGAGTCTTAGGTCTGGTCCACTGGAAGGCAGAGAAAGATCCCTCTCACAAGTGGCTCTTTCACGACTCACTCACAGACCGAGGCGGCAGAATCAGGTCACACAGCGAGGGCAGGATAGACAGGCATGGATCTGGAATCCAGAACCTACCTCACACTGTCCATTCTGAGCCATGTCTGGCACCCGGGCTGGGACTTGTGACGTAACCCTGCTCAGGCGCTCACGGCCCTGAGATCCTCAGCACAGCACCCTGCCACCAATCTCAACCAGGTTGTCTCACCAGACAACTGCCAGCTCCAGAGCAGGTGACTCTGCCTTGTGACTGAGCTAGGTAAAGACATCAGCTCGTGGCCAAACCAAAAGCACGTCTCTAGGAGTCCCTCTGCCTCAGTTTCCCCATTTGTCAAGTACCGTTGATGACTCTTCCTTTCCATTTCCTCTAAAGCGGAAATGTGATATCATAGGACTATTGTCCCGTGTTTGTAAGCACACATCCAAACACCGCCCTTGACTCTCTCTGATCATCAGGGCTGGTCCCGTGCTGGTTGGCTTCGGCAGTGACCCAATGCCCTCCCCCCTCACCTCTTCCCCTCCGGTATCCGCCTGTCTTCCCCGGCACTCTTAGAGGTACCTGGCAGGTTGAAGTTCTTTTTCTGTCTCGTGCATTGTGGGGAAGGGTGCAGGGGAGAAGGCGGCGTGGCACTGGGAGGGAGGGGGGGTGCTGGTGAGGAGGGCGTGGAGGACGTCGTGGATGAGGGGTTGCTGCTGGAGTCTGGCTGGTAAGGGACAGGGATGTGGTCCTGCGGAAAGAAAAACAGGGCAGGGGTCAGGGACAGGTGGGGTCGCAGAGACACAGCAGACCGGGATGAGCTAGGCAGGAAGGAAGGGGCTCCCCAAGCCAGCCTCCTCAGCCATGGCTGCCCCTTCTGCAACTGTTAGAGCCTTCCAGAGTCTAGCCTAGTTCAGCGAGAGACCCTATCTAAAATAATAATAATTATAGTAAGATACGAAGTGACACAAGGAAGACACTTGAAGTCAACCTGTGGCCTCCACAGGCGCACACATAGGCCAACACATGCACCCGCACCGCACACAGACAGAACACCTGAGCGAGACAATTTAAAGGCTGCCCCCAGCTGTGGAGGGAAGTTTCTGGAGTCGCATACCCACTTGCTGCTGGAACTCCCAGGCAGGAAAGGTTGCCACTTAATGAAATCTGCGGAGGTGCCAGCCACGCACTCTGTGCCTCTTTGATCTGGAGGGCCCCATGCCGAGGTGCCCAGAGAACTGCCCCTCCTCTGCCACGTCTCCTCCCAAGTGTTTATTAAAGAATCAACAGCTTGACAGCACCAGAGAGCGTGGGCGTGAGCCGCCTTCAGCATCTTCCCCCGGCATGCAGCTGGGACCTGCATTGTCTGTCTTGCCCTCAGACCAGCTTCCAGGGGAGGGGGAAGATGGAGTCCTTAAGTGCACGTGCGGAATGCCCTTGTTGGATGGACGTAAGAAAGCAGGTCAGGGGGTTGGATGTGCCCTCCCGCAAGGCGTCACCCAGAAGGTTAGAATCCAATGTCAGTTAGAATAAAAGTCAGTTGTTTCAGATGTTACAAAGATCTAGAGAACAGGACCGGGTCCTGACTCTAAGGATGAATATCCTCCTGAGAGACAGGAAAGGGGGGATACAGAGAAAGAAGAGCAGGTGAAGACAGATGCAGAGACTGAGGTGATGTCACCAGCAGTCAAGGAGTGCAGAAGCCGCTGGCAGCTGGGAGAGGCAGTGAGTCCTCCTTCTGAGCTTGAGAACATGACAGCTTCAGCAGGGCTGAGTAACATTCTACTGTATGGATGTACCACAATTTGTGAATTAACTGTCCAGTGAGGGCCGTCTAAGCTGTTTCCTGGTCAGGATACTTTCTGTGTGTGAGGACAAAGCTACTGTAAACATTTATAAAGAGGTTGGTGTGAACGTATGTGATTCTCTAGAGTGGCTGCACTGTTTTGTATCCATACTCCACAGTGAGCAGCTTTCTCTGTGTCCTAGCCAGGCCTTGGTGTGCCATCATTTCTTATTCAAGCATGTGATAATGGTGTGTCCTGTTAGTTCATAGTGAGCGTCCTCTCCTGAGCCTGCCTGCCCTCTAGATATTCCTTTTGGATTTCTGTAGCTATTTATTCAGTTTTGAAATTGGGTAGAATTATTTCTGTTTTCAATTTGTTTATTTATATATATATATATGTATGTATGTATGTATGTATGTATGTATGTATGTATGTATATGCACATACACCCCTTTTGGTTATTCTAACCACTTCACCTTTTCATATTATCTTTAGGACGACAGGGTCTAGGGCTAGAGAGATGTAAAGTGTGCATACTGCTCTTCCGGGGAACCAAGTTCAAATCCCAGCACCCACATCATAAGACTCAGAACAGCTGTAGCTCCAGCTCCAGGGAATCCAGCGCCCTCTTCTGGCTTCCTTGGGTATCTGCACTTCATGTGCACATACCTACCTCAACACAATTATAAAATAAAGCTTTAACAACAAAGTCCTGGTGTCACTCGGGTCAGGGAACCCACCTGACTCGAGGCCATGCTCCAGGTCTACTTTCAGAGAGCCCAGCTCCTTGAGAGTGACCTGCTGTTGGCTTCTTGCCTATCCTTCCAGCAGCTCACTTTGCGGAGCTGGGTAGGTAGGGCTCTGTTCCTCACAATTGCAACCAGCCAGCATGCGGCATCTCCCAACCCCATGCTCACAGCAGGAAGATCCATGGCCTCTGATGCCACTGCAGATGGCTGTTTGGATGCCCTGATGTAGGGGACGAGGGCTAGAGGCTGGTCCCTGAAGGAGCTGGCAGACACTATTGACTTGGCTTGTCCGGCTTCTCTCTGTGTCCTGTCTTTCTTTATCTTCTCCATTCCCTCCTTCTCTGTCCATCACTTCCTCTTCTGTCTTCTTCTGCCCTTTCTCATCTTTTATTCCCGTCTCGTTCACATTTTCCCTCATCTTTCTTCTCTGTTTCTTCTTCCTCTACCTTCTCCTTCCTTCTCCCCTCCCTCCTCTGTTCATCACATTACTGTTTCCCCTTCCTCCTCCCCCTCCTCCCACTCCTTCATCCCTGAGCACCTCGTGCTGGACCAAATGCTTTATACATACCACACATCCAATCCTCTCAACCACCCCTCCTATCACCTTGCCCATTTTACAGAGGGGAAAACTAAGGCAAATTGCACTTTGAACCGGCCTGATCACAGCAACACAGCAAGTTAAGGAGCCGTGCACACAAACCCAAGCCTTCTGGCTCCAAAATTCACCTCCTGCCCACCTGCCAGGTGAGGAAGCAGGGCCTCTATGAACCAGAGAGGGGGAATTTCTTCAGAGCAAATTGGCTGAGAAATCTGTCCCCAAACCACATCACTGACTGATGACAAGAATCCGCATGAGGCCAGTGAAGACAAGAACAGGGCGGAAAATAACCCAGCCTGATGAAAGAGCCTGTCCACCTCCGTGGCGAAGCCGCTGTCTGCATAGAGGCCAATTTCTGTCCCTTCCCAAGTGGCCCTGCTGGCAGACACGCAGTACAGTGTCACTGTGGCTCATCCATCTGACCCGTGTTTTTGTCCCATCTGACATCAAGAGGCTCCAGCGCTGGTTAAGCCAGACAGAAAGGTCTCGGGGTGGCTTTGAGCTCCTGGCCCCTGATGATGTCACCGAGGAAAAGGATGGGTTCTAAGATATGCACAGTCACTTCTGGAAGAACACGGCACCTTCTTCCCTTTTCCTCTTTCCTCCCTTCCTTCCCTCCTCCCTGTGGCAGGGCCACAGATGAAAGGCAGAACCTTGCACACACTAGCCAAGTTCTCGTCCACTGAGACTTCCAGCCCTGAGACTTCCAGAAACAACCAAAGGAAATGGCCCCGGACTTGACATTTTGCATGAAGCCCCGAGATCAAAGGCAATGCTTGTTAGGATTCCCCGGATATCTATCTACTGCGCACCGGGAAGCACACACAGAGCATTTTCAGATGCCGGTTATTTAATGCCGCCTCGGGGACAGCTCTCCTAAGTAGGTGCTCTTAACAGCCACTGTGAGCGTCAGAAAGCGGGGACCCCAAACCCCTTCCCGATGACAGCTGGTGTCTGCCTTGCCTGACCTCAAGCCCTGCAGCATGCAGTTGCCCCCTTCATAAAGAACAGCGGGAACGGCACTGCTGAGGTCCCATGAGCCATCATGTAAGAAACACAAGACGCCATGGGGCAGCCATATTGGGGGAAGAGGAGCCTTCGGGCAGCCATCCTGGCTGACTTCTCTGCCAGAAACAGACTCCTCCCAACCCAGGCACCAGACATGAGAGTGAAGAAGGCCGTAAAACATGTGATGGTAAATATTTCAGGCCTTTCAGCCTTCCTGGGGGCCTTCCTGGGACTCATCAGCTCTGCTCTCACCCCAGCGGAAAAGCAGCAACCGACAGTGTGGGTGTGGCCTGAGTCCCACAAAAGCAAGGAGTGGGCTGAACTTGGCCGAGTCTAGATGTTACTAGCCACCCGGTGTAGGGGTTTTCCCAATAGAGTCTCTGGATATTCTAAGGCAAAGGCAAAATTATCCACCCCATGGTGCTCTGAAGGCTATAAGCATAATAAAAGTGTGGTTGCTGTATACTGCTAATTTGGGGGTGGTTTGTTGTATAGAAGTAGACAGCTGAAGCATGTCCATTTTATATAGAGGAAAACTTTAGGTCAGAGAGATTAAGTTACTTGCCCACAGTTTCACAGCCAATGGGGCTGGCTGCCAGCTCGCCATGACCCCAGGTCACAGGTTCTTTCAAACGCTGGGATGATGTGACAAGGAGCCAGAAAGTGACTGTACCAAGAATTAGCAATAAAAATGACCAATAGCTGCAGGGCAAGCGGAAGTGGACAAGGCTTTTGGAGGGGACTGTGGGAGGTCAGACACAGAGGGTGGGAACCAAAGGACACACAGCCCTTGAGCCTGCTCTAAACAATGTGTCTGGAGCTGGATGGGATGGCACTCACCTGCAATCTCAGCACTCAAGAGGCTGAGGCAGGAGGATCTCAAGTTCATGGCCAGCCTGAACCACACAGTATAACCCTGTCTCAGGAAAAAAACAAAACAAAACAAAAAATTTGAACCGGGGGATGGCCCAGTGGTTAAAGCACTTGCTGTATACATGAGAGGACCAGAGTTTGGATCCTCAGAACCTGTGTGTAAGTGCTGGGTTAGCAGTGGAGCCTGTCTGTAATCTCATCCTCAAAGGACGGGGGGGGGGGGGGGGGGGGGGTCACTAGGGCAAACTGACCAGCAATAGTAGCCCTAGCATCAAGCTCTGTGTTTGATTAAGTGGCCCTTCTTCAATGAACAAGGTACAAAAGCCATCAAGGAAGTTCTTGACATTGACCTCAGACCTCCATGTGCATACTCATCACACATGTGCACATGCACCCTCACACAAGTGCCCACAGATATGCAAAATGCGTGTACACACACACACACACACACACACAGAGACAGAGACAGAGAGAGAAACAGAGACACACAGAGAGACAGAGAGACACAGAGAGAAATATAGGAAAATACATACATAAATAAATACAAATTAGATCTGCTTCCAGAAACCCACAGAAAACTAGTAGGTGGTTTTAGGCAGAGTGGCAGCCTTTGAGTAACGTTCATTAAGACCCACTCTGGCTATTGGGAGGAGGGTGGATAGGGAAAGGCGTCTTCTCAACGTCCGATGCAGCGAAGCAAGGCCACACTTTGCCTTTGGAGGTCAACAGTCACCAAGGTGCTCCTCTGGCATTTGCATACCCATCTGTGCCCTCCCCCATCTCTGAGTCGACACCACACTTTATCCATCTTCACCATAATACACGGAGGCTTTGTGGAGCCCGAGAAACCACCTCTTAGCATATGAGAACTTGGTTTACACTGTGGGGTTGGAATTGTCCCTGGGACAATGTCAGCACAGTCCATCAACAGACCAAAGCCAACCTGGAGTGATCATACCAGAAAGAAGGATGTACGGAGGGCCGCCTGTTGGCCATCCTCTAGGGAGGGAATCAGATCCAACTGTTGCTCAGAGCTCCCAATGACATCCACACATCCGTCCAAGTCCCCACCAGAAGATCTCCATTCCTGAGTTCAGCAGATGTTCAGAAAGCCCGCTACCATGGGCACAGCTGCTCTGGCAGATGGGGAGGCATCCCTGCCAGAGCAGCCAGGGGCTGAAGTACCACAGAAACTCCTCTTTGCTGCTTCCTCCCATCCCAGAGCCCTGTCCTCCCCACACTCATCTGTTCTCAGCTCCATGGGCCATTTCTAAATGACATGCGTTCTGCCCTGACTATGTCTTCAACAGATCACGGGATGTTCCCCTCAGCCCTGCACACCAACCACCCAGAACCTATGAGTGTGAGTGCCATGCCCCAGCTCAATCCTCCCCTCCTTCTCACCCACCATCTGCCCCCCACTGCTAACCCCACAAAAGCCGCACCTTACCTTGTTGATTTTGTTGGTTTTGGGGAGCGTCTGGCTTATGTGAAGATCTGAGTATCGCGCTGGCTTCCGGACAGGGTTGTTGATGTCACAGGGGACTGACTCTGTTCGCACTAACCTTGCTGGGTCCGTAGGGGTAAAAACAGTGAAGAGAGAGAGTCTAAATATCACATTGGCTTTCATCACGTCAGGAGAGCCCAGCGCACATCCCACTTTGAAACCTACCGGTGACACCGGAAATGACAGCCATGCACCCCCATGACAAATGTTCTAGGTGGACCTCTGTGGTTTTTACACTCTTTGTATTATCTACACAGTGTGTGTGTGTGTGTGTGTGTGTGTGTGTATGTGTGTGTGTGTGTGTGTGTGTGTGTGTGCATACATGCAAACCCACATGCAAGGTGTACTAATGTCAAGTACAATATGTACTTGTCAATGTAGGTGTGTCACATGGGCGTGCCCGTGGGTGTGAATGTGGTGGCCTGGGATTGACAGCAGGTCTATCCTTGATCTCACTCTAGCTTTTTTTTTTTTTTTTTTTTTTGAGATGGGGTCTGCCACTCAACCTGACGCTCATAGCTTGGACTAGGCTAGCTGGCCAATGAGCTTCAGGGATCAGCCTGTCCGGGCTCCCACCCCCAGCACTGGGGTTACAGGAGTGTCCTGCCATCCTGGCATTTTGACATGCCCTCTGGAGATCGAAATTCAGGTCCTTATACTTGCATGGCAGGGACAATTTATCAACGGAACCACCACCCCGGCACCTATATATTTTTTTCCAGACGTGTCTTTTTTTTTTAATTATTTATCCCCTTACACATGGTTTTTGACACTAGAAATAGGGGGCAGCCATCTTTTGTTCTGTTGTTTGGGTTTTTTCCACACTGTTACTGTTGCACATTGCTTTTTCACACTGTTACTGTTGCACACTGCTTTTCTACACTGTTACTGTTGCACACTGCTTTTCACTTCAGCCTTGAACTTCCCTTGTGATACAAGAGATCCCTGATTCCGCGAGATCTGCAATTCGTATACAAGCCATGATGGACACCCGTCCCTACGCTTCTGACCATTGGTTAGGATATCTTTCGTTATGTATATAGAGTTTTTTGGGACTCAGAGTGTGTCCCAAATAACTACAGATCCCTGCAATAATGGCTCAGCTCCTTCAGCCTCTCCCCTGGGTATTATGACCAGAGCCAAAGCTGGGTACACAAGCCAGTGAGGCTAAATAACTGCTTCCTCGTGGGGAAAGAGAACTCCATCCTCAAGCGCCTGTCTCTCGCTATTTCTGTCACTCACGGGGAACACAGTGTGCGATGCTAGGGAGCCGCACAAGTTCAGATTTGCCTGCCTACCACCTTTCCTTGTTACTTGTGTTTTTGTTGGGGGGCGGGGGGGGGGTTGAGGAATTCAAGCTTTGCATTGACCCAGGGATTTAATTTCTCTGCTTAGCCGGAGCTGCCATTACCATGGAAACGGACTCTATTTTCAACTTCCCACCAACAGGGAGGTGGGGGAAGGCAAGAAGCCAGTGGACTTCTTCAGGGAAAGTTCTCTTTGATTTTACTTGTAAGGCACAAGGAGCCCAGGGAGCAGTGGCCTTGAACGCAGGTGGGTGGAAGGAGACCTTCTCCAAATACCAGACTCGGAGGGAGGCTCACCTGCCTGCAGTCTGGGTCTCACCTTCCTGGGGGAGTTAGCCTCCAGAGCACCCACTGTGGAGCAGATTTGGTGGGAGGCGAATTCCCCGGGGATGCTGACCTCAGACAGGAGCTGTGTGAACTCAGGCTCCAAAATAGCCGTGCGAGAGGGTATTAAGGCTGTGGGGTGTGAAGAGGCAGGAGAAAAGAGAGCCAAACGCTATTCCTATCCTCCTCTCTTCCTGGAGACCCAAGGTGGGAAAAACATCAAAAGCCGACCGCCTGTGACAGCTCTAGACCTGCTTCAGGGAAAAACTCACTTCTTGCCTGAAGCGTCTCCTAGGTTCATTCTTAAACTGGGTGGATACTCCCAGGCCGAGTCTGAGCTCAGCGATGCCAGGGGGAGATTTGGAAGGAAGGAGAAGGAAGGTTCAGCCCTGGCTTAACAAGTCTCTATGCTCTCTGTCAGGTCTGAGGCTCCAGCCAACCTAGAGATGGGAACACTGGCCGGCAGCTGGTCAGGAAGTCACTAACACTGGATGGAAAATCTAAGGCACATAGAACTATACGAGCTTCTGTGTGAAATGTCACAAATGCAGGTGACACACATCTGCCCACCCAGTTGCTGTGGTTCCCACCTTCCTGGACAGTACCTGCCTGGACTTCCCAATCTGCCCAGGCCACATCTGCCCAGCTTCTCTCATTCAGGATGTTTGCTTGACCCCCATCAGTGTATGAGTTTGTGTAACTCTTGTTCACGAATAATGCTTCCTGGCTTTGAAGGGCATAGGAACCATTCATTCCCAAGCAGATCCAATTCAACAGGGCAGGTTCTGATTCAGCATTTCTGGGGCGGGGCCAGGAAGTGTCTGTTTCACACACACATGGGCCACACCTTTGTTAGTCAGAACAGAGGAGCGCAGGTGCATTGCCTTGGGAAAGGAGATGACGTGTGATTAAAGAGCTTTATTGGGAGAAGGTGGCCTGCAACCAGGGAAGCCATGAGCAGGCCTTGAGTGAGCATCGAAGAAACAACGTGATCGAGCCTGAAAGGGAAGGACAGGCTTCCCCTGAAAACCCAGGGAGAAGCTTCATTTCTTTAATGACGTGACCCCTGGTGGACTGACCTCACATCAGGGCATCAATGCCAAGACTAGCTGGGTAACACAAACCACACTCAATGGGGAAGGAAGGGAAAAAAATCTCAAAGTTGCGTGGGGAGGGATGGGAGGGCGGAGAGGGTGGTGATAGAAGGTGTTGAGGGAGATGAATATGTTCAAAGTTCATGGTATGAGATTCGCAAAGAATTGATAGAAAATATTGCAGAGAGAGGGAGAATGAGAAAGGGAGAGAGAGGACAAGAAAGCGAGCATGCTTGAGGGAAAAGAGACATAGATGGCCGCCACAGACACGATGACAGGGTGGAGGGAACAGAGATGGAGCCTTCGGAGAAATTCCCAAAGAAAAATATCTGACTTTTATTACAGGGGGCAGGGGCGGGGGGGGGTGGGGGGTGACAAGAAAGTCCATATCATGCGATTTAGTCTCGGATAGCCTACATGACAAGGAGAATGGGGGAGTCAGGTATAGCCTAGGGCCATAAATTAGAGGTTGTAAAAACCACAACGCAGATGCTTATTAATTATCTGTCCTCAGAGAAAGAGGGAAGGGCAGCTGGAAGCTCACGGCCTGAGCTCTTCAGGCTGTAACATCTGGCCATTTACACGAGCCAGCACCTTAGGAATAGACTTTTGATCGCACAAGATGGAATGGCATCATCTGGAGAGGTCCTTGCCGTGATGAAATTGCTGTATCTCTGCGTCACCATCCAGCGCAGCAGCCACAGGGGGCTCCTGAGCCCCGAGATACGGCTGGTGAGGCTGGGTAATAGAACTTGTGTTTTTAGTTTCTTCTCATTCATCTCAAGTTAAACAGTCAGATGTGGCTCACAGCTACTTATCCGACAGCACAGACTGAAGAGATTGCCCTGGGGATGGATCATGGGGGGCTGGCAGTAATGAATCCACAGGACAAGAAATTAGGGAATTATTTTGCAAGCTGGGCTATGAGACTTTATGAAGGGTTGTCGTCTCCTACCAAGTCTGTGGCAGATAGGGCAACACTTTTCCTCCCAGCTGAAGGGATCTGGCTGTGCACTGTGAAAGGCTGCCAGCTTGGTCAAATTGGCCCAGGCACTCCCAGAACCCCAAAGAATGGGACACTGATGGCCTAAACAACTCTGCTCTGAGCCAGACAGTTGTGGAATGTTACTTTAACTATGTAAAGATGTGTTACGTTTGTTTATGTTGTGGATTATTACTTTAACAATGTAAAGATGTGTTGCTTTGCCTGCCTAAGATACCTTATTGGTAATAAAAAGCTAAACGGCCAATAGCTAGACAGTAGAGGGATAGGTGGGGCTGGAAGGCAGAGAGAATAGTAAGAGGAAGAATCTAGGTGAGAATGAGAGAAGGGAGAAGGGAGGAAGAGAAAAAGGGAGATGCCCAGGGCCATCCAGGCAGCCACCAGACAGACAGACATAAAGTGGGACATACAGAATGAAAGAAAAGTAAAAAGCCCCAAAGCAAAACATAGATGAAGAGAAACAGGTTAAATTATGAGAGTGAGCAAGAAACGAGCCTAAGCTAAGGCCGAGCATTTATAACTAGTAGTAAGTCTCCGTGTCATGATTTGGGAGCTGGTTGGTGGCCCCAAAGAAACAGCCTGCTTGCACCAGACTCCTCCCCAAGGCCACTTTTGCAAGACCCACTGTGTGAGCCTGGATCACACGGCGGAAAAACCCCAGCCAGCACTCTCTTTTTTTGAGTGTGAAGGAAAAGCAATGGCGTGGAAAGAAGGGAGTGAAAATTAAAACAAAGAGACAAAGAGAGGGTTGGGAGGCAGCAGGCGCTAAAATAACCAGAGGGACCCGTGGAGTGACAGGAGTGCAGAACGGGGAAGGAACACAGCAGGAAAGAAGGAAATATTAGGAGGAAAGAAATTAGGTGGGCAGGGGTCTGGGGATTGGGAGGCATCTGGAATCATGCTGGGTGGCAGGGCAGCTTTGGATGCAAGAGCTCTCGAGCCCATTACAAGGTGACAAGTGTTAAATAATTACCTCCTCGGTGGATGATCAGGAGATGACAGGGTGGGGCTTCTTTGGTGCATTTGTTATGGCACTTTAACCTGGAAGACAGAGAAAAAGAAAGTTGGATGGGTTAACTGAATGGTTGGATGGCTTGATGGACAGATGGCTGGCTGGCTGGCTTGGTGGATGGATAGACGATCGATGGATGGATGGATGGATGGAATGGGTGGGTGGGTGTGTGGAGTGGATGGATGAGCTGAATGGATGAGTGGATAGATATAAATATGGATGGGTAGACATGGGGGGATGAACTGGTGGATGGAAGAACGGACGCATGGACTGATGACTAGACAGATAGGATGGATATAAATACGGATGAGTAGATGGTAGAAGGACAGGTGGGTGGATAAGCTGGTAAAATGGATGGATGGATGATGAACTAATAGATGGAGGAGATGAATGTACATATAGATAGATGGGTGGACCAATGGATATATAAAATGGTAGATGGACAGATAAATGGAGGGAGGGATGGAGGAAAGATGGATGGATAGATGGATGGATGGATGGATGGATGGATGGATGGATGGATGGATGGGTGAAAGATGCCCCAGTGGTCCAGACAACTCCAGGCACTGAGAGCAGCAGTGTATGAAATGACTGGAGGCAGTGAACGAAAAAGCTGATCCTTAACAACCCAGAGGGTTAACTCTGGAAAGAGGCTTTCAACGTGACTCTTCCAGTTTCACCCTAGGTGGTCAAAGAGTAAGTACTAATTGTTTTTAACAATATCTATGTTAACTTCATGCACTGAAATGTGCTTAGGATAATGGTCTATCATCATCATCATCATCATCATCATCATCATCATCATCAAAACAACACTCCAATCTCAATCATCATTACCAAGTACTCAAAGACTCACTCACCCCCCACTATAGTAAACATTTTCTATACACTATTTCATTTGATTCTTACAACTGTAAGAAATAGCTATTATAGTCATTCCCCCTTTCTTGAGATGAATTGGCATGCCCTGGACAAACTCCCTAAGCCATTGTCCCCTAGGTAGTCTCCTGTCTATCCTAAAGCTAAAGCTCTCGGGAGACATCACACCAAAGCTTACCTTGAGGATGCGATCATTAGCAGACATTCAAGAGTAGACTACAAGTGAATTTCCTTCAGACAAATCTAACGGGTCAAGCTTGCTTTCCCACTACACCTGACTGCCCAAGGATACTGCCCTTCCCCCAAGTTACTGCAGTGACCACACTTAATGTCGAAGATTGGGCACCCCACACAAGATACTGTATAAGCTCCATACAGACCCTCTCTGGATTCCCCTGACATTTTATGCACCCCAGTCAAGCTTCCAACAGTTAATGACTTTGCCACGTGACCACTCTCGGGCTCCCATCATCCTAGGGCTGAATAGAACATCCCACCCACCACCCAGAGGTTAGAGTATACATTTCTTCCCTCTAAAGCTCTGACTGGCCTCTCCAGAGAGTGTTAGAACACCTAGGCACAGGTCAGCACATGAGTCTAGTTCAATGGTTCTCAACAGGGGTTCCCCACCCAGCAAACATCAGTTCTTTCTGAAAACTTCTCTGGGGGATTCTCTGCAGCATTGGCATCTCTGAGGCTAGACTAGAAAAAGTCCTGAAGTGACGCAGATGTGTATGATGAGGGGAACTGTGGATCCACTTTGTGGTACAAGTCTACACTTGTTTACCCGTTTGTTTTTTTTTTTTCCACCGTCTTTCCTGACTCTGAGAGAACCTCTGTGTTCATCTCTGATCTGGAGACTTTAGACCTGGGGCCCTCGAGCACACAGAGGACAGTTTAGGAGGAACCTGGGTAGCTCCAAACAATCGAGAAACTGAGCTCTCCTTTTCCAGTTGACCGTACCAGGTGGTAGGGATGGAGGAAGGCCTTCAAATGCTCACCCAGTCCCAGATGCAGATGGACAACAGACAGAGCTCTCCTCATTGTCTTCTCCCATCTGAATATATGTTTTCGGGTCACCTTATGTGACTGGCAAAGGGTACTGTTTTCCCATTCACAGTAAAGAGGAGTTCTCATCTTTAAGTCAACTTGCCGCTATGGTTTGAGTCTGGAGTGTCCCTCAGGGGCTCACGTTTTGAACATTTGGTCCCCATCTGGGGGTTCCAGTTTGAAGGCTGTAGTGCCTTTAAGAGGTGGGGCCTGGCTGATTAGAGTAGGTCACTAAGGGGTGGGCTTGGAAGGTCATGCCCACCCTGGGTCCAGACTGTTTTTCTACTTCCTGCTTCTCGTCACATGAACACGCCATTCTGTATGCTGTCACCGACATGTATGTCCTCCTTGCCATGATGAATGAAACCCAGAAACTGGGAGTCCAAGCAAATCTTTCCTCCATGAGCTGCCCCTTCCACTGACAAAAGAACACACTATACTTTAGCCAAAACGACAGCAATAAGGACAGGCATGGTGGCATACACTTGTAAACCCAGCACTCAGAAGGCTGGGATCTTTGTAAATTTGAAGTCAGCCTGGGATACATTCTGAGTTCCACTACTTTGTAAGGATTAAATGATATCGTGCTTGTAAAGGGTTACACAAAATACCTGCCATGTGGTGACTTTCAGTATGTGATACCACTGGGACATCACTATCATCACCACTATCACCACCATCACCAGCATTACCACCATCACCACCATCACCATCATCATCACAATCACCAGCATCACCAGTGTCATCCATCATCACCAACATCACCAGCATCACCATCACCAATATCATCACCATCATCACCACCATCACCACCACCATCATCCATCATTACCAACATCACCATCACCACCATCGTCATCATAACCATCACCACCAATACCACCATCACCATCACCACCATCATCACTACCACTACTATTGTCGTCATTACCATCATTATCACCATTGCCATCAACTCCATCATTATCATCACTATCGCCATTATCATTACCATCACCATAGCATCACCATCATCATGCCTGCCAACATCCATCATCCCTGCCATCTCCACAACCATCCACCATCCCTTACCACCGCTCCCATCATATCACCACTTCAGCCTCTGGGATAATTATGACCACCCCTCACACAGCGGTATAATCAGACCCAACAGTTGACTTAGAATAGTGAAAAGAAGCCCATGAGGGACCAGGATGGTGTTTTGCAAGAAATGAAGTGTTTCTATTCGTGGAAAAGCGAGTTCGGGCTTCAAGTGGGTGATCTCCAAAACGCATGCTCATAATTATATCCTGCCAACATCCTGCCTGCTGGGCAGCCTCCCAGGCCTCCAGGAACTCCACAGCAGCTGCAGAAGCTGTGCCCATCCTCTCTCTAGTTTGGCTCAACTGGAGCTCACAGAGCTCAGCTCTGGTGTTACTCCTGTGGCACCTCCATGAGCAGGGAGTCCCTGGTGCTCTGCATTCCATTCCTGTCTTACTTTATGGATGCTGTCCCATGCCTGCATCATTTATTTCTTCCCATGTGAGCTCTCTCTCCCCTCAAACACAGGATTTCTTCCACTTGTTTGCTGTATGTCCCCGGTACCCAGTGCACACCATTTCCAGCTGAGCTTGTTAAAACTCATGGAGTCGTCCGGGTTTGGTCCAACCCTAGAACACAGACTCTCCGCCAAGGTCGGAGAGTCCGAGGGTCTCAGCAGAGAAAGGGCCGAGTCAGAATGGGTAGAAATTGTATTAGCTCAAGAAGACCAGTGGGAGCCCAGTGGCATCCTAGGTCCACCTCAAAGAAGAGCACTTTGACCCACATTCCTGTCTCCCAGGATGGGAAGTCGGGAGAGACACAGCACATAAGAGCTAAGCTCAGGCCTTTGCTGCTCACTGGTTCTGTGAGCCTGGCTGAGCCTCAGTTTCTCACTCTGCAAAATGGGGGCACCCATCACTGCTTCCACTCAGGGCCATTAATGAAACTGGGGTGACCAAGCATGCAGAACATCACCTCATGCACTGGGATCCATCCCCGCATCAATCACCCTCCTCCTTGGGGGACAAAACACCTGATGCAGGCCACTTGAGGAGAGGGAGTTTATGTTGGCTCAGTTCTGAGGGCACACTCCATCGCCGTGGGGAAGAACAGAGCTAGGAGACTGAGAGGGCTGTCATGTGGCACCCACGGTCAGGAAACAGAGAGATGGATGCTGGGGCTCAGCTCGCTTGCCCCTTTGTCGTCAGTCGAGAACCCCCAACCCGTGGGATGGCACTATCCCTGTTCAGAGTGGGTCTTCCCACCACAGCTAAACCTTTCTGGAAACATCCACAGAGAACACATCCAGAGGTATTTCCAGACTGAGTCTGAATTCAGTCGGAGTTGACAACTAAATTAAGCCATCACATCTCCGGAGTGTCAGCTCTTGGTGCTTTGAGGGTATGGTTTGTGGATCTGCCAGTCATCCGTACCTTTTAATGTCTTTCAACTACTCTATTCTTCCTGATTCAAACTCTGTCTGTTCTTTATGAAGATGCCTGATTATCAAAGTCAGTTGTCCCTAACCTACACGATGATTATTTAAACACATCTATTTTTCATGCATGCTAATCATGTGCATCAATGACTTGTTCTGTGACATTCTGATACATGTATCAAATAAGTAATGATCCCATCAGGGTTTCTGACTCACCCTATATTTTATGTATTATTATTATTATTTTTTTTTTTTGGTTTTTCAAGACAGGGTTTCTCTGTGTAGCTTTGCGCCTTTCCTGGAACTCACTTGGTAGTCCAGGCTGGCCTCGAACTCACAGAGATCCGCCTGGCTCTGCCTCCCGAGTGCTGGGATTAAAGGCGTGCGCCACCACCGCCCGGCTTATGTATTATTTTTAAAGGGTCCTCTATCACTATTCCCATGTTACAGACAAGGAAACTGAGGCCTCAGGAGTAAATGCCTGGCACAGAATCTGTTGTCAAAACACAGGTCTCCCTGATTCTAGACCAGATACTTAACTGCCTAGTTTGTGAGGCTGGCCATGTCATAGACCACAGTCACTCCTTCCTCTCTGCTTCCCCTTGAACTTCCCACATAGAGCAGAGTATGAGAACCTGGGTT